TCTCGAACTCCTGAACTCAAACAATCCACCCGTTTTGACCTCCCAAAGTGTTAGAATTACAGGTGTAAGCTACCGCATCTTGTCATGCTATGCTACTTGTACCAAGAGGTATTGGGACTACCAATCTTTGTTTAGAAATGTATGCTGGCTATTTAGTATCTAATGGCTATCACTCAGTTTCTATTTATTACATTTCTAAACTGAGTTTCCTTTCTTTGTTGCAATGGTTGACAGGTCAAAGGCTCAAATTCTTCCTCTTTACCATTCTAAGATATTTTCTTTAAGCATTTAAGCTGTTCCTATATTTGACCAGCTACTAACTTTGTACTTGTATTTACCTTTTTAATATTTGATAAGATACATTTTAATAGAGTTAACTCAAGTTACCATAGGTTGCAGTATTCTTATCTATTCTGTTTAATTCATTTTTTATTGATAAAGGTAAGATTTTTAACAGCTTAGTATGAGCTACAAGAGCATGACTTTTAAGTCAACTTAACGGTTTAAGAAAAGTATGAAAAAAGAGGTTTAGATATAAAGGTTAGTTTTGTTTTAAGCCAGAATTTTTCCCCAATTTAATAGTAATGCAGTCTCTTCCCAGCGGAAAGGGAGATTAGGAATCTAGTAAAAAAAATGTAAATATACCATTTGGATTTTATAATGTTAATGTCATATTTAAAGGATCGCTATTCCAAAATGTTATGTACCCTTATTCAAATATAGGAATAAATTTTCATAAAAATAAAATAGTAACAACAGTATTCAGAAATTGGCAATGACTTTTGATAGCTTTACCTATGATCCTTCCAGTCGATGAATAACTTGACTCAGGTTTTTTATAATCTCTGTTGTCAATTTATCATAGTAACTTTTTTTACTTTTTCCTAAAGTTGTAATAATTATTCTTTTTGAAGTTTCATTTATATTTACATGTACATTTATGCATTACATTTAAAATTCAGAATTAGAATATTCTTGACATAAGTTATTTTATACATGGAGAAACTCTTTAAAAATAATTCTCAAGCCTTAGTATTTCATATTTTAATAGGGTTTTATATGGCCTGCAATTGCATGCTCATCTTTCAATTATTTGCTTATGAACTATGAATTTAATTTTTAATTCTCTACATCCAAGGGCTTGTTTATGTAGGAATGGCTATTTCAACTCAATACCACCTCTTTATTTTGAAACAAACGTTAACCAATGCACAGTAAATTGGGAAATAAATATGATAGTAAAGCAATCATATGATGAAAGTCACATGGGATTCTCCAAACCATTTTTATTCCTCCTTTAGCTTAGAAGCCTAGAAGAAGGTTGATGATTCTTCTTAGAATGAAACTATCCTCTGATGGTTACATTTCTAGGATTCAATTTCTGCTCTTGTGAAAATAATGCATTCTTGAGTATGATGAACTACATAAACTGACAGTGTCTTATCTACTTGTATTTATTAGTTTTTAATATGCAAGAGCTTTGCTGTGGTTTATTGTTATGTGATCGGTTTTGTCATCTATATATCACCAAATACCTTTCCATTCAGAGACAACATGGAGAACAGTGGTGGGGAAGCCATATTTTATGATACCTTTATTCTTCTACAGTCTATATTAGTAATAGACTGCTTCTGCACTCAAATTAACAAAAAGTCCTTGCTCAAGCAAATTTTTAATTATCACTAAACTTATTAGTTTATACTTTTCCTGAGGAAGACAGACCACTGTTTTGACTTACAGACCATAATGTCCTAGGTCTTGCAAACTAAATAAGGATTCTAATTTTATCATAAAATATTGACTCAAACTGACTGGGAGATATTATATATCACTTATAGAAACCTATGAATTAGCTATTTCAATTTAACATAAATATTTCTTATCAATCAATGATTAAAAAAATCAATATAACTGTGGCAATATTTTTTAGATCCCAGTTCTCTTATTTTCTCACTGAGCAGAGATCCTCAGAGGCTATTTTTCTAAGACAGAGACATGTGAGTGTGGAGGCCTACACCACCACAGGGATGATGCAGTGCTCAGGAGAGCATGATACAGAGAGGAAAGACAGTATGTGTTGCTTTAGGTCATAATTTGAGTAAAGAGGTTCAATCATTGCTGTCTTTGGCCAGGAGAGCATATGCATTTCTACTCACTCCATAAGGAAAGATCAAAGTCAAGGACAAGGACATTTTATTTAACTCCAGCTTTGGGAATAGTGCTTTCATTCTGATGAGCAAGTCAATCAGTTAGGTTCAGAGTGCATGTAGGTATCTTGTGCTCTCTTTCTTTAGATTTTCTCTTTTATTTGTAGCTGGAGTGGTGACAAGGTGCAGTGCTCTTCATACTTGTTTGCAAAAGGAGTGAACCAAAAGCTTTTCTTCCCAGGATGTGTGTATGGTGCTTCTGTGCACATGCTCGCGTGTGTACACGTACACACACACACACACACACACACACACACACACACACATATCAAATGTAAGGTGCAGGGAGTAGAGATTTGGGGAGCAAGTGAGAAAAGGAAAAGAGAGCTCTGCTCCTCCTTTGTTTTAGGTTCCTTAAATAGAACTCTAGTCTATGCACAAAAAGCCCTTTTCAAGGTCCAGCATGGTTGTAAATCTCCCCTCTCCTTGCTGTGCTCTCTTTTCACATCTCCTGGGACCCGGAGAAGCTTACATGTCCTGAGGCTGACAAAACATCAGTTTCACCTCTCTGGAATCTTCATGTTCCACACTTCCTGTGATTCACTTTATTCTACAATAATGTAGTCAAGTTTACAGTGCTATATACATCACAGTGGAAACTCCTTGGTTAACAGCTCTCTTCCCTATGACACTGTAAGTGCCATAAATGAGGAGCCATGTCTGTTTTGTCCTATGAGGGACCTTCCTGCACACAACACAGTGACTTACAGGTAGCAGATACCCAATGTAATATTCACTGAATTAATAAGAGGTTAAATAAAAGATGCAGGATTTAAACTCCACACTTCTCATTCTTTCACTTCCAACAGTCTGCCTATAGCATATAAACCCTTTGGATCCCTCTGAAATGTCACTTCTTCACATGGACTTTACCTGACCTCCTTATCTACAGTAGCTGTCTCTCCCACCTTCCACTGCCACTCATCATTCTGTACCTCAGCATCCTGTCTTCTTTCCTTCATGACACTTATCAACTTGTTTTCTCATCCACCCTTCCTCCCTTCCTTCCTTCCTCCCTCTCTTTCCTCCTTCCTCCCTCCCTTCCTTCCTTCTTTCCTTCTTTTTCTCTTTCTCCTTCCTTCCTTCCTTCCTTCCTTCCTTCCTTCCTTCCTTCCTCCCTCCCTCCCTCTCTACATTCCTCCCTCCCTCCCTCTCTTCCTTCCTTCTTTCCTTCCTTCCTTGTCTCTTTCTCTTTCCTTTTGAGATTTATCTCATCCACTCCTGCTGTGGAAGCACCATCAGCATGAGGGCAGTGGCTTATTCCCTCCTGTTCATGATAGTGCACCCATCATCTAACTCAGTGCAGAAGCACAATTAGAATAATACTCCTAGTGCTTACTTTTAGGTTAAAATATTAAGATGAGAATGCAACATTTCTGGAAGCAAAAGATACATCTGATTTTGGAAAATCCATGGTTCTTAGCCCCAGTGGAAAACAAATACATCACTCCTGCCCATAGATTAGGGCAGTTGTGAGAACGATCTCAACAATATCTCACTCTGTCTTTCCCTTTTCTTGGTCAGCCTGAAATCTACTAGCTAAAGGTAGCCATCTATCTGCCTTCAGGAAGAATGCAGTTATGTGAGACCATATGCTATTAAAGCACAAATAACTTTCTCCTACATGATTCACAAGCTTGGGAATCTTATGTAAAAATAATGTAAATCACCCTAGCGTTAATGAAAGAGTAAATTATTAGGTATTATAGGTATCAGTATGCCTAAGTGGGTTCATTTTATTTTCTGGAACACCAAACATTATTTCTTTCCCTCCAACTAAGAATTTATATGTCTCAGATTAGAAATTACTGTTTTAGGAGCTCTCAGAGGATGAGCATTTGTTTACCAAATACACAACCACTCTCTTGCACATCCAACTGACATTGAATTGGGTGTTCTCTGTTTTTCTCCTTTTTGACATGACTTGACACATTAGAATGTGACAAAAGAATTTCTATTTGGCAGAATTTCCTGCTCCATATTTAATTATCTTGTCCATAGTAATGCCACGTTTGAATAAACAACTAGTAGCCCAACCCCCTGGAGAAGATTTTAACATAATGTATGAAGATTCTGTCAAGTCCACCTTTGAAGTTGTCTCCTCTGATTATTAGAAACTTACCACTGGTTTCAGGTATAATCACTATGGGAGATAGAATGTATTACACAGCAATTTCAGTTCATGGACAGTAGTCATGGCAACACAGGAGGATAAATCTTAAAATGAGAAATAATCTCCAAGGGCAAGAGTTTGCATCTTGCTTCCAGATGTTTGCAGTTTTATTTTTGGAAATAAATAAGCTATTTGGGTTTTTTAAAGTCTTAAAAATCTATTTTGAAGGTACAATGTTTAGATGTTTTTCAAAGTGAAAAACTGCACCATGTTTTCTAAATAGCACCATATGCTAAATTTTCTTTATAGCTTTTTGGATGCTTTAAAAATTTTCTCATTTAAGAATTACACCAATTTTTTTCTAATTCATTCACAGTCAATAAATATTTATTGAGCACTTGATTTGTGCCAGACACCTTGCTAGACATTGAGAATTCAGAGATGATTTTCTTTTGCTGACTTTGAATATAAACAAGGGATGGTTCTATGTATGCAGATACAGGAAACATTTATATTTGCTATATTTGTGACACAAATCCTCAAGAAGTATTTAGTCAAAGAAAAAAATAAAGAGACAGAATTATTCTTTATCTGTAATATGTATAGAATAGGAAATACTGTGTATAATTATATATTTAGTTTACAAGCAAATTTAAGTAACAAGTATAATTATTTATTACCTGGTACTATTCTCATCCACTGGTACCTTTGTCCTGGAGGGAAAAAAATCCTGTGTCATGCTTACAGAATAACATCAAGCATTGTGAAGACATTGAGTCAGTAAAATGTGGGTACTTTTAGAAATACAGTGAAACTTTGGTGATTCTGCCCTTCTGCTCCTCTCCTTGTACCCTCTCTCGGGTATCCCAAGAATACCCAAGATGTTCCTGAACAAAACAAATCTATAACATTGTTAAACAACTCAAACAACTCGTTCTACATGCTCTCCAATGTTTTCTAATTTCCTGCTGGGTATGTCCATTTGAAATGTTACCAGCACCCCAAGCCCGATTCACTTGAATGTAAAAATAACGGTCTCTCTTTCCTCCTCTGTTTCCTGAGAACGGCCATATTATTTGCTCACAGTATATTCAACTTCTTTCTCACTCATATTTGCAGTCACTCACCACTCCACACACTCTTCCCATTCATCTTTTCTCCTACATGAACTTGACAACCACAGTCCTATTAGACTTTTATGATCATTTTATTCCTACATTACAAACTTTCAAATGAATCCTCTTGCCTCCATGCTTATTTTTCTTTCCTCCATCTGCACACTACTGTCAGATCAATCTTTCTTAGCAGAATCTCTTAAATAAGCCAATTGGAAGATGGGTGTGTGGAACTTGTAGAACCACAACCCATTTCTCTGACTAGGAATATGTTTGTATAATGATGATTTTGTTTAAGGGCAGGGGTTGGCTGAAAAAAAAGAGAGATAATGCTTGAGGCATGAGTGGATACCTGAAGTGGAATGACAGTAGAAGGAGAGAAATCTAGGGTGAACAGGAGAGATGGAGAGTGCTCATTTCTTAGAGAGTATGAACCACCAGGTATGCCCCTTGTATAAGAAAGAGGGAAGCAAGAACCTGCTGGAATCTGTGGAATTTAGGCTCTTGAGTTGCTTTTCTCCAGTACTTTGTAAGCAGCAAACCTATACAAAAGGCTAGAGGAAAAAAATATGAACAAGTTTGTTGCTAAGCATATGCAGTTTACTCCCTGAGACCTCCACAATTAATTCGCCTTGGGGGATGGTTCTTGAGTTCCTGAAGAATTGATGGTAGAGACCATATACTAAAAAATCAGCTGTTAATGTACACATTTTGATCAAAGGCTGGTGATACTTGGGAGAATATGCTTACGAATAATCTTTAAGGCCACTTTTCAATTTAACAAAATAAAATTGATTAATTATCTATAGTAAAAAGTTCAAAAATTTTTATATTTCTGTTTCTAAAGTCTTTCTCAAACCCATTCCAATTTACTATTCCATACTTATTCCTATTTTCCCACAGAGTTCTGTTGGCTCATTTCAAGGTTAAGTTATTAAATGTGTCTTCAGTGTGCCAGGGACCAGAACTACAAAGGTAGATCAGAATTCCTGTTTTCAGGGAATACTCAGTGCAGTAGGGGGAAACAACTGTCTAATCAGTAATTACATTGCAACGTGATACATACAACAAAATGTGAATGTGCAGAAGACATAGATGGACCAGAAGTGAGAATGGCTTGTGGAAGCCTTCACAGAGGAGGGAACTTCTGGCCTAGCATTTACACACCTGTTTGTTTTTCCTCATGCTTCCTTCTGCCCATGACCTCCTGCCTCCTGATTAACTATGCAAAGCCCTCCCAAAGTTCAGTACCAACTTTAATTGCACCTCTCCCATACATCGTTTCTGTCCCCAGCTGAGGTGAGCATTTCCTTAGTTAGTGTCTGAAGGATATATTCAGCAATCAATAATCTGCTTGTGGAACTTCACGGTCTTGAAATGTGATTTAAATATTTTATTTGTTTATATTACTTCACCAAGAAGCTTCTAAATTACTTTAGAGCTGGAATCAGTTCATAATGCCTTCTTTGTAGTAACTGCAGTGCCTTAAGAAATATATACATTATATTATATTATATAATTATATTATATATAAATATATATATACACACACACATATAAAATCTAGTGAAGTGTTGGTTTCTTGATATTAGTGGAGGTTAACTTTTTAGGACCTAGTTCTATTCATGACTTACAGTTTTCATCAATTATTTTATAAATTAATTTGACATTCAAATTACTCTTTTCCTCTCACACCACATTATTTATTCCTTTCTTTGAATTAGAGCCTATCTTTCATAGTGGATTTTTATATGCTTTTTTCTCTCAGTGGACTCTGAACATCTCATGGTCGATATACAAGTTTTATTTACATTTTATTTCCTATCATATCTTGTCAAGTGTTTTCTATGCTAGTCAGGTGAACAACATTTGTTTAATTAAGTGATATATATTCTGAATAAAAATTTTATAACCAAGAACAGTATTATTCAATGCAGAGTTAAAATTCCATAATCATGTAACAAACTTGGTGAAGATTGTAAGTTTTTATAATCAATAACATATTTTTCATTCATTCCTGTTTGTCTCTGCCACGCCTCTAGCTGATGTGTGCTTCAGATTTGAAAATTAATTTGAGAAGCCAAATTGTTTCATGCTTTTCAAAGTTATAAGTATAGTTACATATGTTTATATTTATATGTACACACAAATGTAAAGCAATGATGCCTGTATTACAATGATGGTCAGTTAATATTGTTTGTGAGAATTGTAAATTATCTCACTATCCTTTATTTCTACTTTGCACTAGATACATCTATGAGTTTGTGACACGTGTCTTGTAAGTACCTCTCATCTCATCTGAGGGGTTTCAAGGGAAAAGTAAGCCACAGACACCAAATGTTCCCATCCTCAAGTTAGAAAGTTAGCAAGAATGGGACATTAGACATATACTTAAAGGGAAATGGTTACAGAAAAGAGGAAAAATATAATATTAAAAAAGGATGTGAGATTGAAGACAAATTTTACCTACTGTATGTTTGTGTATCATGCACTTAGCTGAATGCAATGTTCATGTAGAATATATTTCAGTAGGAACTTCATTTTCATTACAGCTAGCTCATACTTACATACGCCTAACAGTTTGTGAAGCACTTTCAAGTACATCAGCTCTTTTGACATTTACAACAGTTTCTAAATGAGAAAGGAAAGCCGTTTGTATATCTGTGCCTTGTCCAATGTCAGGCAGTTATTGCCAGAGTCAAGAACTTCTGATAGTTTTCAAGTCAACAAAGACTATCAATTTCCCAAAGAATGATGAAAAATCAACTTTCTCACTATTATACATCCTGAATTAGTTTTCTAATTAACATGGAAAGTTTATGAAATCACTTTATAAAAGCAATCTCCCAATTTTTAGTGGGATCTGTGCAAAAGGACTTCCCTTTGCTTGGGTCCTTGGTGCTTTTCTTTCTTCTGTTTTAACATGCACTGATTATATTAGACCCCCAAATCTCTTCCTTTTGGGAGCAATTAAAAGACTAACTATTTTTAATCCAAATATGCAAAGTACTAACCTTTAAAGGTCCACTCCATAAAATGCTTGTTTTTCTGTATGACCTTTTACGCTTCCATACTAAGTCACCTTATAGAGCAAGACATTCAACTTGTTAATGTTGCAAATCTCTGCTCTTCCAAAAGAATGCTAGTATTTAAGGGAACACCACCGAAAAACCCTTTCCATGCTGGCCATTCAGAGTGGTCTGAGCAGCTTGGGCATTTTTACATCATGCAGACATACTCTCTGAGTGCCATGAACACTTTACAGGCTTGCCATTAAATTTCATTCAACATATAACATTTATTTTTGCTTTAATTGAGCTTACCTATTGTTTCAGTAGCATTCTATCAAGTGAAGTGTTGACTCCACTGCATATTGCAAGCAGTAGAATTAGGCTCACTATGAGTAAAGAGACATAGCAAAATGTCAAGTCAAGGCCAAAATAAGCTCTAGGGTATAATGAAACACATAAGGAAGAACAGCTCAGGAAGGGAATAATTAGATTCAATATAACACAGTGCTGAAGGGCCAACCCAGGAATTGTCATTATTGTGCAGCTTTTATATTCACTGGAAGACACGGCAACTCTTAATAGTGATTTCATCACCATTATTGCTGACTTGTTCAGTGTTGTTATGAGTGCTATATTCCTTCTTATGAGCCATTGAAATGCTAATATTTAAATGTGTAGTGTATGGCTACAATGTCCAATATTTGGATGACGGGTACGCTAGAAGCTTAAACCCCACTATTACTTATGTAATACCCATTTAATAAACAAGCACATATGCCCCTTGAATCTAAAATAAATAAATACATAAATAGATGGGTAGTGTATACAAAAAAGTTTAAAGACTTGTTTAAGGGGAGTGCTAACATGGCTAGAGGAATGGGGCACTGGAATCTTTATAATTTTAGAATTGCAATAACATATGGTATTTCATTTATAAGGCTAAAACTACAGAACTGGAATACGGATAAGCTTTGAAATTTCTCTCCAATGACAATACTGTTTCAATCCATTTATTAATTGCCATCAATTCATCAATGATGGCACTAATGCTATGGTTTTTGTGGCATGGCTTTCTGAATACAAGTTGTGCCAAAAACTGTGAATTATACCCCAATGTTTGTTTTCTCGTATTTCTTTCCTATAGTAGACCTCCTTGAGTTTTAGCTGGGAAATGGATGCCCAAGCTAGACATCACATTTTCCAACCTTGCTTGCAGCTTAGAGTGGATATATGGAAAAGTTAAGCCAATAGGATGTAAGTGGTGATATGTGCAACTTCGGCTTACTCTGACTTCCTCCCTTCCCACTGGCGAGGGAATTGCAATGACTGAAGAAAACCCAAAAGCCACATGGTAAGGTTCAAAGATCCTCTGTACTGGCCTTGAACCACTCACTTCTGAACTATCTATGAAAGAAAAATAAACTTATATTTAAAGTCAACAAATAGCTGTTGCGGCAGGTTTGTTTGTAGCCTAAATAATGCAGAAATGCAACGCCTCTGTTGATGAGACTGAATTTCATTAGTCTAGAGAAATTTAAAATCTATGACATTGTCCTCACTGACATTCTGTACTAACCAACAAACTCCCAACAGAATAGATTCCGAAGGCTAAAAGAAACTAAATGAAATGCCGTAATTCACAAACTAGAATTTGTTTGAGGAGAAGTAACTTTTCTGAGAGTGCTAATCTTCTACTAAAATAATTGATCCTTTGTTTTGAATAGGTCTGTAAAGCAAAAGTGAAACTTTTTTAGGGTTAAAAAAAAATCCAAGTAAGTCATTATGACATGTGCCATTCTTTGCTAAGTTTGGGTTTTTAAGAAACTATTGACTCATAATAAAGCTTAGATTAAGCTACTCCCAACTACTCCCAACTGAATACTGAAATCTGGATTGTGGCCTGCCTTTCTAAACAACCAGACTCACTGTAGATCAGCTTAATAGGAATGCATGAAGCAACATGTTTTTCATTCAATTATTCTTCTCCTTACAATTCGAATTCTTATATTAAAGTATCCAGTGATGTACTCACCAAAAGCAAACTAGTTGAGCACAATACTTAAAATACAAGTACTTTTTAAAAGGCAAAATCCTACATACTGTTATACATGAACCTTAAGAATTATGGGGCATTTTCCATGTCTTCTTTTCTCTTTGTAGTGTTAGTAAGAAGGATTTCTAATTTCCCTCCTTTGATAACAGAAGTGTCAATGACCCCTGGCTCTCAGAGTTGATCTTCCTTTTGGAGTTTATAAACCTTATGGTTTTCCGGGAGATAAAATAGGTTTTGAGTGTGACTCACAGTTCCACCACTTATTTACCATCTGTCTTTCTGGAGGTTAATTTACTAAGCCTTGCTTTTTTCCCATATTTCACTTCTCTTTTCAATTGATACATAGTATTTGTAAGTATTTGGGGGGTATATGTGATATTTTGACACATGCATACAATGTGTAATAATCAAATTAGAGTAATTGGGACATCCATCACCTCAAACGCTTATCATTTTCTTTGTTTTAGGGAAATTCCAAATCTTCTCTTATGGCTTTTTTGAAATATAAAACAAATTATTGTTAACTACAGTCCCCCGACCATTTTTCTGTGCTCATTACCAAGCTCTCTTCATCCCATCCTGTCCCATACCCTTTCTAGCCCCTGGCAACCATTCCATTCTCCGTCTGTTTGAGACCAACTCTTTCTAGCTCCCACATGTGACAGAGTACATGTGATATTTGTCTTTCTGTGCCTGGCTTGTTTCACTTTTGTTCTCCAGACATCCATTTTGCTGCAAATGACAGGATTTCATTCTTGTGTATGGCTGAATAATACCCTTTTGTGTATATATACCACATTTTCTTTATTCATTCATGCATTGTTGGACATTTAGGTTGATTCCATATCTTTGCTATTGTGATTATGCTGTGATAAAAACGGGAGTACAAATATCCCCTCAAGCATATCTCATACTGCTTTTCTTTCTTTTGCATATATGTCCAGCAGTGGGATTGCTGATCATATGGAAGTCCTATTTTTAGTTTTTTGAGGAAACTCCATTCCGTTTTTCATAGTGGCTTCACTAGTTTACATTCCCCCAATAGTATAGGTGAGTTCCCCTTTCTCTGCATCCTTCTCTGCATCCTTGCCAGCAATTATTACCTTTTTGTCTTTTTTATGATAGCCATTGTAACTGGAGTGAGATTACATCTTATTGTGGTTTTGATTTGCATTTCCCTCCTGGTTAGTGATGCTGAGTATTTTTTCATACACCTGTTGGCCATTTGTATGTCTTTTGGTCTCGTCAATAAATGGTGCTGGAAAAACTGAGTATCCACATGCAGCAGAATGAACCTAGACCTCCATCTCTCACCATATACAAAAATCAAATCAAATTGATTTAAAGATGTAAATATAAGACCTTAAACTACGAAACTACTAAAAGAAAATATGCTGGAAACACTTCGGGACATTGGTGTGAACAAAGTTTTTTTGAGGTAAGACCCCAAAAATGCAGCCAAGAAACAGATCTTATGTCAGACGGTGATAAAAGTTATAGAGAGGAATAAAGAAAGGTAAAGGAAACAGTACTAATGGGCATGGGTAGGGTATTGCTGTTTTTTAAGACAGTCATGGAAAAGCTCTTTGAAACATTGACAGTGGAGGAGAGACCCAAAAGCTTGACTGAGCATCTTTCAGTGAAAGAGCATTTCTGGTGGGGAAGTAGCAAGTACAAAAATTTTGAAGCAAGAATATTCTTGACATATTCAAAGAAAAGCAAAGTGGTCACGATGGCAAAAGTGGGCCAGGCAAGAGAGAGGGTGGTAGAAAATGGGATAGGACAGGAAGACTAAAGATCCTCCAGGACCTTTAATGCTATTGTTAGGAAAGTTTCTTACTCTGAATGAGACAAGAAGCCAGTAAAAGCATTTGTGCAAAGAGACCATCTGATTTAATGTTTAGAAGGAACTCTCTGTAGTGGATAGAACAGTAGAGCAAGACTAGAGACCTCACGTCTGCTCAACCCCTACCACTTGTTTGGTTTACTGCTATATCTCCAGCATTGAGAACAATATCTGCAGCATTGTAAGCACATAATAAACATTTGTTGAATGAAGGTGTTGATTAAATGAAAGCATATAAATTACTTATTTAAGACATGGAACAATCAAAGGGCTCAATAAATGGTAGCCGGTAATTTTTTATCTCTATCAAAATAACAGCCACTCACTTCTCTGGATTCTTCCTTGCTTAACTCTTAGAATAATTTCACAAAGATTTAAAATTATTTTCTACAGCTCAATTTTTTTCCTATAAGTAAACTAGTAATAAAAAATGCATAACATAAATACAATTACACTGCAATATATCTTTACGATTATTTTTTCCAAACAGAAAAGAATGTTTTTAAATTTCAAGGTAACATCCTGCCCACAAGCTCAAGAAAGAATATATACATATAATATTTTAATTTTCTGATTCAAGACTAAGTGTTCTAACTTCCCTACACTAGTAATACAAATATCATGCAAAATCCTTGTCACTTAAAGCTACTGTTAAATATTAGGGCATAAGTAGTCATATGTAGAGAATGAAACTGGACAAGCAATTATCATATACAAAAATTAACTTGAGATGGATTAAAGACTTAAATGAAAGGCCTCCAACTATAAAAATTCTAAAAGAAACCTAGGAAATACCCTTCTAGACATCAGCCTTGGCAAAGAATTTATTACTAAGTCCTCAAAAGTAATCTCAATAAAAACAAAAATTGACAAGTGGGACCTAATTAAACTAAAGATCTTCTGCACAACAAAAGAAACTATCAACAGAAGAAACAGACAACCTACAGAATGGGAGAAAATATTCGCAAACTATGTATTCAAGAATTGTCTAATATCTAGAATCTATAATGAACTTAAATCAATGAGAAAAAAACAAATAATCCCATTAAAAAGTAGTCAAAGAGGCCAGGTACAATGGCTCACACCTGTAATCTCCGCACTTTGGGAAGCTAAGAGAGGTGGATCACTTCAACCCAGGAGTTCAAGACCAGCCTGTGCAACATGGCAAAACCTCGTCTCTACAAAAAAATTTAAAAATTAGCCAGACATGGTTGTGTGCACCTGTAGACTCAGCTACTCAGGAGGCTCAAGTGGGAGAATCATCTGAGCCCAGGGTGACTAAGGCTGTAGTGAGCCATGATTGTGCCACTACACTCCAGGCTGGGTGACAGAGTGGTGAGACCCTGTCTCAAAAAAAAAAAAAAAAAAGAAAAAAAGAAAAAGAAAAAGAAAAGGACATGAACAGACACATCTCAAAAGAAGACATACAAGTGGCCAAAAAACATGAAAAAATACTCACCATGACTAACTATCAGATAAATGCTAAG